GAGAAAAAAAGAAACGAAGAGAGAGAGAGAGAGAGAGAGAGAGAGAGAGAGAGAGAGAGAAACGATGAACGTATGTATTTTTATTTATATCATCATACAGTATGTATGAATGGAGAACGAAAGAAACGAATGAAAAATATATTCCCTCCCATGTAATCCATCATTGTCCACGACAACCAGAAATTTATGAAATGAAATGAAAAAAAAGAAATTTTTTTTTTCTTTTTTTTTTCGTCGACAAAGACGACGATGATGGTGAATGGTGATGGCAATTGGTGATGGCGATGATGACGGCAAACAAAACAAAAAAAAAAACGAAAATTTGTAGAGAAAACCATTGGTGAGATAGATAGAGAAAATGGCCAAAATGCCAAAATGAAATGTTAAATCCAGAAAAAAAGCATTCAGCCATCATCTACATTGGTTTTACTGTTGATGATGAAAAAATGGAAAATTCTTGTTGTTGTTTTGGTTCTAATTTTCTATTGAATTTTTGGATTCGGTTGATGATACAAACGATGACACGATTATCACGGATCGATCATGGATTAATCATTGGAATTGGAATTGGATAAAATGGTCTTAAAAAAATTTAGTTTTACTTTGAGTTTAGCGGTAGACAACTACGTGAAAGTAAATTTGTTTGTTTTTTACATTCGAGCAATAGATGGCACCGTGAGTTAAAAAAAATTTTTGAATGTCAAGAATTTTGAAATTAAACCAAAAATATCAAATGAAATCAACCAAATATTTTCTTTATTTTTTTTATTCAAAACTTGAATTTATTCAAATTTTATTTTCAAAATCAAAAATTACACACACAAACACACAATTAAGTGCCCTAAAACTCTATAAATATGAAATTATTATTTAGTTAGTTTCGAAATGTTGATACACAATGTGACAATGTAAATGAAAATTTGTAAATTTTGAAATATTGTAATATCATTATTATAGTGATCTTTATAATCAATGTTTTTTTTTAATATTTACATAAGCTAAACAATTTTTTTATTTTCAAAAAAAAATCAACTAATTTTCCATTGATTTCTACAAAAGAAATTCTAATTTTCATCATTCTAATTGATGATAATTGAGACCAATCAATTCATTTGTTAAATGATGATTATGATTATGTTGATGATGATTGTAAGGGTTAACACCACCGTTTTGTTGTTGTTGTTGTTGTGCCATCAATTGATTTGTCAAATTATTATTCTGTGATGCTGCGGTGAACATTGTTGTTGTTGCTGTTGAATTATATTGATGCGGCTGATGATGATTGATTGTATATGATGATTGATCACAATATTGTTGTTGAAGATGATGTCCATATTGTTGTTCATATTGTGATCCTATTATTTGATTATTTTGCTGTAAAAATGATGCAGATGCGGATGCAGATGATGTTTGAATACTATTTGGTGATGATGCTAAACCTATCGATGATGCACTGGTTGAATCAGGATAATATGAAGAAGAATTTTCATGATAACCATGTTGTTGTTGATGATGATATTGATTTGCTGTCATTGAATTACTATTGGATTCTTGTTGTTGTTGTTTTAATGATGTTGCAGAATATTCTGATGGAATACGATGATGATGATGATCAGAATAATTATATTGATTATATTGATTCATTACAATATTATTTGGATATTTTATGGAATCAGAATTGTTATAATTCTGGTAATTATATTGATCATATAATGAACAACTACCACCACCATTATTCTGTTGATGATTTAGATCAGAATTTTGATAATTTGATGATGATAAATGATGATTATTATGAACAGAATGATTTACATATGAAGAATCATCATATTGATTTGGACAAGGTGATAATGATGATAATTTTGATGTTACGGTGGTGGCGCCACCAGCAGCAGCTACCACTGGATAGGATAATAATTGATCACAGTTGTTTGTATGATGAGAATTTGTTGTTGTTGTTGATAATGTTGATGCGCTATAATCATTATCAATATTTTGATTTGGATTGTTAAATGTCGCTGCTGTTGCTGTTGTGGAACAAGAATCATCATATGAAATTGATTTGGTTGATTCACATGATGGTGAAAAACATTCCGATTTTATTATCGATTGTTGTTGTTGTTGTTCGTTATTCTGAAATTGTAAATCAGATTCAAAATATAATTGCTGTTCCGTCGGATGATGATGGCCATTTTGATTGATTTGTGGTGGTGCAGATGGTGGTGGCGGAAGATGATATGCAGCTGATGAAATTAATGTTTGTTGATAAATCATTTGTCGTTTTATCTGTTGTTGTTGTTGTTGTTGTTGTGGTAATTGATTTTCCAAATTACAATCATCATTATAATAACGATATTGATAATCATTTGTTTTCATTATCATTGAATTTGTGGCCATTGATGGATATGTGGAACATTCCGCCGATGATGATGATAATGTCTTTGGATTTACCATCATTGATGGTGATGATAATTGACAATTATTACGTAATGATAATGGATTCTTTTGATGATTATCCATCAAATGTTGTTGCTGATGCATTGGTGGTAAAGTTGGTTGATGATAACGATTTAATTTACCATTCATCAATGTTGTTGTTACCGGTGGTGATATCGGTGATCGATCACCTGAAAGTGCTGATTGTAATAAATATCCACTGGTGGCATTCGTAGTGGTGGTGGTGGATGTCACGGAATTATTTGTTGTTGTTGTTAATGATGATTTTGTTGTTGTTGTCGGTAGTTTTGGACAACAATCTGTTGTTGTTGTCGTTTTTGTTGTTGTTGTTGTTTGATTCTTTTTTGTTATTCTTGATGAACAACCAGAATTCAATATTCCACAATCAATATTAGCACAATGATTATTATTGCTCAATGTTTGTTGTTGTTGTTTTTTCCCTGTACGTTTTGTTGTACGGGTACGTTTTTTTGGCGTTGATCGAATCGAAGTAATCGGTTTCGCTGTTGTCGTTGATATGATTAGATTGTTGTTTGATGCATTTGTTGTCATTAGAATCGTTGGATTCAACAATGATGGTGAGGTTGTCGTGGTCATCGTCGCTGATGTGGAAATAGCGGCGGCGGCGGTGGTGGTGATTGGATCATCAAATGATAATTTCCCTTCATTGGAATTGAATTTCATTGATAATTCTGGATCGAAATTATCATCGCCAACAACATTATCATCTGCATCTTCACCATCAATATCGTCATCATCTTCGTCGTCATCGTTATCATCATCATCATCGGATCCAATACCATCATTACAAGATGAAGATGATGTTTTTGATGAACTTTTTTCATCCGAACCAGTTTTACTATTATTTTGTCGTTTATATTTCATTCTTTGTGTTTAACCGAAAAAAGGGTAAAAAACAAAACTTTAATCAAGAATTTTAGAGAAGAAAATCCAGGATATTTACCTTCGATTTTGAAACCAAACTTTCACCTGTCGTTCAGTCAGATCTAATGATGCAGCTATTTCAATCCTACGTGGTCGACAAAGATATTTATTATAATGAAATTCTTTTTCCAATTCTAATAATTGTGTATTTGTATATGCTGTACGTAATCTTCTTGGTGTACTTGATTCACCTAAAATTGTTGAGAGAAAAAAAACAGTGATAATTAATAACAATAACGGTAATTAATCAAGGATAATGGTAATGATGATGTAATCAATCAAACAACAAAATTTGATAAATGATGTTTAGAGGAGAGGAGGAGAAGGGGGAGAAAGAGGAGGTGGTGGAGGAAACATAATTATATTTTGGTTGTTGTTGCCCTTAACCTAATTATAATATTCATTATTCATTTTGATTAATTAATTTAAATTTTTTTAAAAAATGATGATTATGAAATCTTAATTAATTACAAAAAATCATTTATCATTATCATCATCATCAACAGCAACATCAGTCTTTTTTTCGGAAATCTTTTCGGGAAACTTTATCGACAAAATCAATAAAGAAATCATTTCATTTCTGTCTCTTGTTATTTCTGTCTGTCTCTCTCCCTCTCTCTCTCTCCTTGGTTATCTCGCAGGTTTGGTTACATCATTTTGATGATGATAACTTTAAAGCAAAAAAAAAAAGATTTTCATCTTCAACACACATCCAGACATTGTGTTTATTGCTATCATCATCATCATCCATGATGCAAATGATATACCATATAATTTTCTTTCAAGTCAAAACAACAAAATCACCCAAATAGCTTTGAATATTATTATTATTATCAACATTATTGTTTTCCAATGCGCAACCTAATAATTAATTTTTTCTGTTTCACCTTGAAGCATGTTTGGCAAAATCCACCGAAACAAACAAACAAACAAATAAACAGAAAATCAAATGATAAACATTGTTTGTTTGCTTGAGGTGAATAGCATCATTATTATCAATCAATTTCGGTTTTTCTCATCTGAAAATTGTTTGTTTGATCCGCATCCGATCAAACCAGCAGATACCCGATCAGATCAGATCAATTAATCATTTTGGATTTTGTTTTTTGAATGTTACTCTTTTTCGATCATATCATCAACATTTTCAAAAAGATAAACAAAACAAAATGAAACAAACTTTTTCAAAAAAATACTGATTACTCGAATCAGACAATGTTGATGATGATAACTTGCAAAAATAAAAGGAAACGCGTGCCAAACTTTCAGTCAAAGGAAATCAGTGAGAGAAAAGGAAGGAAAACCAAACCAACCAACCAAACCAGATCAAACCAAAAAGGGTAAATCATTCACTGTGTATGTGGATTCTCACCATATCGGGCAACACATCCAATCATTTATCTGAAACCAGAAAAAAACTAAACGAAACGGAAAAAATCAGCCAGAGAGAGAGAGAGAGAGAGAGAGAGAGAGAGAGAGAGAGATTCACCCCTATACCCAATATTCCTCTGGGTTGGTTGGTTGGTTGGTTGGTTACCACCATTCTCTGTGTGCATCGAGATGCGATAAGAATGTTCAGTATTCAATGATGATAATGAAAAATCATTGAATGAAAAAGATTTACGAAAATCAAAGATCAAAAATCAAAAAAAAATTCTTTCGAAAAAAAAATTCCTGGAAAATTCCTCAAAAAAAAAAATATTTGATTTATGTTTTTTTTTGCTGTGGATTTTAATTTCGTTTTGCTTTTTCTAGTTTTGATTCTTTTTCTCTCATTATTCTTGCGTTTGATGACAATGTTGTTGTTGTTGTTGTTTAGTGGTGATGGAGAATAACATCATCATTTTTTTTTCGCTTGAAATCTGAATTTAGCTTTCAATTTTTTCCAGTTTCTAGCTTAATCAATGAATAGAATGTCTTTGTTTTTTGCTTATTCAATTCATTCTGTTTTGTCATTATTTTTTGTTTCTTATTTTGCTTGAATTGACACACACACATGATGCTTTGTGATGCAAGAAAACCAAAAAGTAAATTCTGTTTTTTCTCGTTGTTTTTCGTTGATGAACATCGCCTTTGAGGCAAACAACAGTTTTTATCATTTTTGAAAAAAAAACAGAGAAAAAAACAAGGTATCCTTTTTTTTCGGTTGTTGTTGTTATTCTTATCTCTCGTATACGGTGATGATGATAATGTTGCCTTTTTTCAACAACAATCAGCCACAAGACAAAAAAAACAAAACAGGAAGAGATAAAACATATTTTCATCCAAACTGAACCGAAAGAATCTTTCAGCACCATACACAAACACCGGAACAGTGAATCTTTCTGTGGGTGTGTGTGGATAAAGTGTATCAAAAAAAAAAAAAAAAAGAATTTTCATTCAAAACAAGGCAGCCAAAACAAGAAAAAAAACAACCAAATTTGATGCCAAATTTTACATCATTCTCTCTTTGCACATCTCTCTATCTGACTGGCATATGTGTTTTTTATGATTGAAACATCATCATCAACATTGCTGAAATGCAAGAAAAAAAACCCAAAGAACAAAACGATAGAATCGGAAATTCTTTCACAATAACAACAACAAGCAAGCAAGCAAACAAGATTTATGAGATTTTCGCTCTTTCAAGCATCATTATCCGAGAATCCGAGAGTGTGTGTGTCACACATAAAGAATATCGAATTGAATTGAATTGAATTGATGATGGAGAAAGTCAAAGTCAAACGATGATGATCTGCGGTCAATAATAACAACAACAACAACAACAAAAGTCAGAATATTTTTTCGGGTTAGAAAAAAATCCTGAATCCCGAATAATATTGGTGACAAGAAAATCATAACCAGAAAAAAAGAATATTGCCGGGAAATTTGTACTGGAACAAACAAGCAACAACAATGAAAGAAAATCGAAAATTCTTTTTCATTTGTCAATTTCTATAGTCCGGAAACACAGGAAACTTGTTTTCAAATCATTTCGGGTTTGTTTCTCTTATTGTTTCCATCATCATCATCATCATTGTTTGGTGCAAACAACTATTAATCACAATTGACTTTATTGAATGTTTTCATTTTTGTTTTTTTGGTATGATGATGAGATGTTGTCGATCAATCGATTGATATTTTGAAATTCTTTTCAAATGAAAAAAGGTATATGTTGTTCTTGATGTTGATATGAAAGAAAGTTTCGAAATTGAAAATATGAGAAATTCAAATAGAAAAACAAAGAGAATTTTTCATTCATTTCAGATTTTCACATTCAAACATTTGATGAAATATGATACTATTTTGTTTTCCAGCGTTAAGTAAGAATTTTTTTTCTGATTTCTGATTTTTGACAAGACCTATATGACAACCGAAACATGTTGTTCATTTTGTTTAAGCTTCGTTTCGTTTTTTGATTGTAAAATTTCAAAAAAATTTCGGTAGCCAAGAAATTGACTAATTCTGTTGCTTTAAAAATACGTTTTTTTATATTCAATTCCGGTACAATTTTATCATTTTGTCGATAATGATGATGATGATGATCAAGATTGGTAGCCAGGTCATAAAACATGGTTTCCGTTGTCAAACAAACTAGCCAACCAAATGAATGAATGAATTTTTTGTGGCTATTTTTGTCCGAAAAATGCTATTTTTTCCCTTGTAAAATATATTCAACAGTTTGGTTGGTTCGGTGTTAAGTTGGCTTCTTTCTCTCGAAAGAAAACGAATAAAGAAATGAAGAAATAAAAAAAAAGTCGGTAAAATTTCAAAGATTTGCATATGGTTTTTGTTTCTGTTTTCTGCTCAAAAGAATTTCATTGCATTTTCGACAACGAAAAATTCTGTTTTGAATTTTTGTTTTTTGAAAAGATTTTTTTTTCGTTTTTTTTGTTTGCTTGCTTAAAACAAAGAATGTGCTTTATGACTTTGTTTGTTTCTTGTGTGAATCATAAAAAACCCAAAAAAAAACAAAAAAAAAACGTCAGGCAATCGATTGATTGCCTGAAACCAAAATGAGAAAATCTTTCTTTTGGCCGGTATGATCATAAATGTGACATTATCATTTTTGAGAAAAGAATGGAAAAAAATATAGGGAAAACAAAAAACAAAAGAAAAGAATAAACCACCTGTCAATTGATTTAACGTGAAAACATCTTGGCCCTATCCAGTTTTTGTTTTGTAAATTGTTAGATCAGATTAGATCAGAATAGATAAAATGAATGAATGTCGTCATGAAGAAGAAAGAATTTCTTCTTCAGATCTTTGGAAGATCCGAAAAGAAGAAACCCAGAGAAAAGTATTCAGAAATCATATTGGCCGACAAATGACCAAGCTAAAAAAAGTTAAGCTTCAAAGATTATTTTGAACAAACGAAAAACGAAAATTGAAGAAGAATGTCACCGACAAAATAACGAAGAAATTTTACCATGAATTTTCCAAGGATTTTTCTGTTTCGGCATTTGACAATTTGAGAATTATGACTAATTGTTGTCTAACCGAAACGAAACGAAATGAAAGAAGAAAGTTTTTTTCGAGCCAAAGAATTCTTTTTGCCAAAAGAAAAACAACAATTTTACGGATCAATAACAAATCAATTTCTAATCCTTTTTTTCATTTCAGATTTGCATATTGATTTTTTTTTCGATAGTTACCGAATCGATTGATTGAATTGATTAGAATCGTCTGTCGGCAAACAAAAACAAACGCATAATGTGTTAATTAAACCCAAAAACCAAAGATCAATATGTTTCTCATAAGATTTTTTTCCAGTTTCGTTTTTTGGGTGAGAAACAAGATTGTTTCAATTTTTGAAACAAGAAAAAAATCAGTTTTCAAATCCGTTACAGTAATTTTGGATCAAATTAACACTCAGTTACACTGACACACACATGTCAATGATAAAATTTGTCAAGGTTTCTTCAAAAATCCCAATGTTGGTCAATCCGTTTGTCAAAAAAAACCGATTTAGAGAAAATGTTTTAAACATGTTTTTTAAATAATCATTTTTGTCAGTCACTGTTTCTAAAGATGAAAAATGATTTTGTTTCGCTTTTTTCGCTTGTAAATAGTGCGTATATCGGTAGTTTTATTACGATGATTATTACGATGATGATGATGATGATAATGATCATTAACACTTGTGATGACAACAAGGCAACAAAAACAACAATCATCACCACCAAAACATCATTAATCATTCTAAGAAAATTTTTCTAGTTTTGTTTTTTTAGTGATTCTGCAAAAATTCTTAATCTGGATTCTAATTCTGGATTTTATGTAAATGAATTTCGTGTGTGAAAAAGAATATTCTTTCTTTTTCATTTTAAATTCAATGTCAAAGTAAAAAGCCAAAGTATAAAAATCGATTTAACACAAACCTTGATGCTGTTGTTTACGGGTCATTTTTTTATCCTTTGTAATCCAGGCAAAATTATCTGATTGTGGTGCTTGCGGTGGTGGTAGTTGTGCTGTTAGAGATGGTGGTGGTGGTTGTTGAGGTAGATTATTATTAATATTTGATGAATTATCATTGATGATTGATGATGATGATATAAATTCAGTAGCTAGGTCAACAGTGTTAATAGGTTCATTTTTCATAATTATTGTCGATAATAATGGATTATTATCAGTTGCTGAGGTTGTTGTTGGTGGTGGTGTTGATGAAATCAATGTCGATGTCGTCGATGATGATGATGATGATGAATTGATTGATAATTGTGGTGGACAACAAGTCATTGATGGTAACATTGTGTTAAATGAATTTTCCGTATTTGAAAAATGATCAGGTAAATAATGTTGTTGCTGAGGTTGATGTTGAGGTTGTTGATTGATCATTATCGGATCATTCAAAGATGATGATGATGATAATGTTGGTGATGATGATGAAGATGTGGATGATGGTGATGATACAGATGATGATACAGATGTTGATGATAAAGAAATATGATGATGAGGATGAGGATGATTTAAATATTGTATCGATTGATTTGATGATGATGTTGATGATGATTGATATTTCATTGATAAATTACATGATTGTTGATTTGGTTGTTGTTGTTGATGAATGATGAATGGATTTTCAATTTCCATTTTTTCTCAATTTTAACACAGAATATTCCTTTCGGTTGTTGGTGTTGCTGATGTTATTGCGGTTATTCATAAATTAATTTTCATTCAAAACAAAGTTTTCTGGAAAGCCAAACCGAACAACAACAAAATTTTGAAAGAATATTATAGAATTGAAATGATTGAATGTGATTCGTTTTTTTGTTTTTCTTCTTCGTTCGTTGAATCAATGGATGGATATTTTTCGTTTTACTTTCACAATCACACATATGTTAATAGGGAGGTTTTGTTTTTCCGTTGTTGTTGTTTGGTTTTTGTTCCCGAATTGAATACATCCAGAACAGAAAAATATCAAATGCAAAACAAAATCAAACACTCAATTGTATCGTCCCAGCTGTCAAAACTGTCAAACTGAATGTTTTCTCACTCTACACTCTGTGTGTGTGTAATGTATTTCATTTCGTCAAATTCTCGTCAAATGTTTTTTGATTTGATCCGTAGGGCAATATATAAATGTGGTGTGTGTGTGAATTTCCAAACAAAAAAAAAACAACACTCGTAATAGATAACACATTGGGTTCTATTCGTATGTATGTATCTGTTGTGTGTATGTTTTTGCTTTTCTCTTGACTTGATTCGCCGGTTATTTTATTTTTACCCAAATGAAATTTTCAATATTTTTTTCTGTCGTTTTTGTTGTTGAATTCATTGTGAAATGTGGTTGTAATAAGCTGGGTTATTTTCGGTTTATTGGCGACAAACTAAATACAGAAAACAAAAACATACAGAAAAAAAACAATACTAAAGAATATTGTGAAATGGTGGAGGAAAAGAAGCACGATTTTTTTCGTTGTTGTTGTTTTTCTGGTTGGTTGAGGGTTAAAAGAAAAACCATCATCAAAAATTCGTGAACGAAAAAAACCAAAACTTTTTTATTTTCGTTGTTCATTCCCTATGATTATCATTTTTTACGTATGAATATCGATTCAATTCACAAACCTAGTATTTAAATTTCCCAGTAAACAAACCCGATCTTGACTTGTTGTTGTTGTTACAAAAAGAGAAAAAGATTATAGTTTCTACATAAGAAAAAACTACTGTAAATGTTTTATTCTTCACATAGGAACCGGATACAGGATTGCTTGTTTTCGTGTGTGTGTGTGGATGTCATGTTTCTTCTCTCACTCAGTTATTTGGCAAATAGAAAGAAACAAAAAAAAAACAATCAATCATTTTCATTGGATGTTTCGATGATGGCTATCTATTCTATAATCAGAAATTTTTTGGTAGAATAAAAAAAAACACATTGAAAAAAAACACACACATGTTGCACCACCATCATCATAGTTATCATTATCATCATCAATGGTCATCAATATAGTCGTTTTGGTCATTTTTGGACGGCTAAAAAAAGAAGTTTTTCATTTTATTTTCATCATTTTTTTTTGGTCTGAAAATGATTATTATTTATTGTTGTTGTTGAAGGTCCATCAGGTTATTATTATCTCACCTTATTTGATTTTATCAACAACAACAACCATAACCATAATGATGATGATAATAATATGCAAATTTACCATACACGCACACACACCAGAGGAATTTTTGATATATGTTTGTTGTGGAGAAAATTCTTGAAAATTCACTTTTTTTTTGCTGTTGATATTCTGTGCTGGTCTTCGGGTCTGTTCAAAAAAATCAAGGGTATTATTTCATAAGGGTGGATGTTCAATGAAATACGGAATTGAATCTGTTGTGATCAAATGAAGTGAAAATAATGATGATGTTTTATATGATTGAAATGACGACTACGACGACGACATCGACAAATGAAATGATGATGATGATAATAGCGAAAAACGTGCGTAATAGAGTAGTGTATATTTGTGTGTCTGGTGTAGAATAATAGTAGTGTGTGTGTGTGGAAAAATTAAGGATGTGGCTCCAACAAACAGAAAATGTTTCTCCTATCAAACATCATACATTACATACATTACTCTTTCTTTTTCTTTTTTTTTTGCAAATAGATTTTTTCTTTTCTCTCTCTTTTTTTTGTATTATTTTCGGTTATTATTATAACAAAACAATGTGCGCGCGTGCGGAAATTTTCAAACGAAAAAAAAAAATCGGGAATATCTCTCTGTGTGTTTATAAGTTAGAAACAGAATGCAGAAAAGGTTTGCTGTTTTTGCTGTTTTTGTTATTCTTTCTCTCTCTCTCGCTCTCTCTCTCTCTCTCTCTCTTTCACATTGTCTAATGAAAATTGAATAAGTAGATTTTTTGTTCCAGTGTTGTTGTCCTTCACAGCCTTAACATTCATAAGAGAAAAAAAATAACATTATGTAGAATGTAACCAAACGAGAAAAACTTTTTTCATTCAAACAAACAAGCACGTGCACTTTATTCCAGCAAAAAAAAAAGTTATCAATTCTTGATCGATATTCTCTATAATAATCGTACATATATATCGAGAGAAAAAAAATGAAATGTTTTTTGCATCGCTGCTGTTGTTTGTTGCTTTGGTGGTTGATGTTTGGAAAAATTTGTCCTTCAAAAATTCATTAAATTCATTATCAGATTGATTCGAATGGAAACAAAAAAGAAAAGAAATTTCAAATGAAATAAACAAAACCAAAATTGAACAAACCAAAATGTTTATCATGTGATGAATGATGTTCATGTGTCTGTGTTGGATCGATTGATCGATTGATGAATGATGATGGTGGCCACACATGAATGATTTGAATATTTCAGTTAGGTGTTGAGAGAGAGAGAGAGAGAGAGAGAGAGAGAGAGAGAGAGAGAGAGAG